TCTATTGCAGGACACTTTGGTTGTTTCCATGTCTTCCACCGTGAATAATGCTGCAATGAGCATAGGGGTGCATATATCTTTGCAAACACACGATTTCAAGGTTTTCGAGTATACACTCAGAAGAGGGATTTCTGGGTCGTATGGTAGCACTATTCTTAGTTTTTTGAGGAATCGCCAGACTGCTTCCCATAGTGGTTGTACTAGTCTACATTCCTGCCAGCAGTGAATCAGGGTTCCCTTTTTCCCACAACCTCTCCAAACACTTATTACTTGTCTTGTTGCTAATGGCCACTCCAACAGGTGTGAGGTGGGATTTCATTGAAGTTTTGATTTGCATTTCCCTAATTGCCAGTGAGGTTGAACATATTTTCATATATCTATTGGCTGTTCCTATGTCTTCTTGGGAGAGGTATATTTTCACGTGTTCTGCCCACTTTTAGATTGGGTTGTTTATTTGTTCGGTGTTAAGTTTTATGAGTTCTTTAGACATTTTGGAAATTAAACCGTTGTCAGAGCTACTGTTTGCAAATATTATCTCCCATCTGGTTGGCTGCCTCTTTGTTTTGTTGTCAGTTTCTTTGGCTGTGCAGAAGCTTTTTAGTTTGATGCAGTCCCATTCATTTATTTTTGCCTTTGCTTCCTTTGCCTTTGGGGACAAATTTATAAAATGTTCTCTACAACCAAGGTCCATAAGTTTGGTACCTATATTTTTTCTATGTAACTTATTGTTTCAGGTCTTATATTTAGGTCTTCGATCCACTTTGAATTAGTTTTTGTACATGGGGACAAATTGTAATCCAGTTGCATTTGTTCACGTGTGGCTTTCCAGTTGTCCCAGCATCATTTATTGAAGAGACTGTCTTTACTCTATTGTGTGTTTCTGGCTCCTTCGTTGAAAATTAACTGTCCATTTACATGTGGTTTTATAGCTGGGCTCTCTATTCTGTTCCATTGATCTGCATATTTGTTTTTCTGCCAATACCATGCTGTTTTGATTATCGTAGCTCTGTAGTATAATTTGAAGGCAGGTAGCATGATACCTCCAGCTTTGTTCGTTTTTCTCAGGATTGCTTTGGCTATTTGGGGTCTTGTGTGGTTCCATACAAATCTGATGATTCCTTGTTCTATTTCTTTAAAAAATGACATTGGAATTTTGATGGGGATTGCCTTAAATCTGTATTTTGCTTTGGGTAATATTGCCATTTTAACTATGTTGATCCTTCCAACCCATGAACACAGGATATTTTTCCATTTTGTTTTGCCCTTTTTAATCTCTTTTAATAATGCTTTGTAATTTTCAGTATATAGGTCTTTCATGTTCTTTGCTAAGTTTATTCCTAGGTATTTTACTGATTTCAGAGAGGACGGGAGAGGGAGAGAGGAATAGAAACATCAATGATGAGAGAGAATCATTGACTGGCTGCCTCCTGAACGCCCCCCCACTAGGGATTGAGCCCGCAACCTGGGCATTTGCCCTGACCGGGAATCAAACAGTAACCTCCTCGTTCATAAGTCGATGCTCAACTACTGAGCCATTGCGGCTGGGCTCTTGTTATTCTCATAACAAACCTTTGCAGTAACTTCTATCATTATCCTCAATTTGTAGTTGAGGAAAATGAGGGACAGAACAACTCATTAAAATTATGATTTTAAGTGAGGAAAAGTTTTCCTCTACTCTCTTAAGTTTAGGAGCTGGTGCCTGTGAATTAAACTGACAAAAGATAGATTAACAGGAGAAAAGGTTTATTTCACATTCACATGGAGGCTTCCAGAAAAGTGAAAACCCAAGGAAGTGATTACGGCTGGGAGGTTATGTACCATTTTAACAAAGGGTGATAAATGACTAGACAAAAAGAAGGGGTTTGGGCTTGTAGGATGGCAAGTTGTGGGAAGGTGACTATATGGGGGGAGCTAATGGAAGATAATAAGGGCTATTGTAGTAAGGTTTGTTTACATAGATTTGTTAGTGAAGTCTTCAGTGATAAGAGTCTTCATCTCTTGGTATGGGAGAAGGAATGAGACAAGTACAGAAAGGGAAATCTATGCCCTGCTTATAGGTAGATAGAAGGAGAGTAGAGAGCTCCTCCTGTGTTTGCTATTTCTTAAATTGCCTTCAGCTCAAAATAATCCTCCTGCCAAATGACTTATTTTGAAGGGGCAAGTTTTGATTCCCTTCACCATGAAAATACATATTCACAGCCAAGTATTCTTAAATTAGTATTAAAATTCATATTTTTCTTGTTATCCTGATAGTGAAGACAAAACAGAAGCACAGATAGTATAGGAGACTTGTCTAAGGTCATATAGTCAAACTAAAGATACATGTCTTTTCTCTTAAAATTTTAATTCATTCTTTGCAATCAGCCATTTGGTCACCCGAGGGTCCTTGGAGAATCAGTCCTTATATTGAAATCTATTTCATTCACTACAGTCATGTTTTTGTTTCTCAAGTTCTGTTACTAAAACTGCTGTTAAAAAAGATCTGAAGTCCAAAGAGCATTTAGAGCCCCAGATTCAGCAATTAGTGTGGTGATAATTTGACCATTTCTGCCTTTAACAATGTGATCTTTGTAGGAACTCTTATGTTCATATTGGAAATGCTCACTGTACTCTTTTTGGAGGCATACTTTAAGTGACAACATTTTAAGCGATGGAGTCTTGCTGGTGACTAGCCCAGTGTGATAAAAATATAGCTACTCTCCCAATTATAGCCATATTGCTTCATTATCAGAGGACTAGAGGCCTGGTGCACGAATTCATGCATGGGTGGGGTCCAGGCCAGCCCGCCCCGACATATCTGGGCCAGCTGGCGGGGGTGGGGGGATGGGGGGAGGACGTGGGAGGTTGGCCACTGGCCCCACCCCCAATTGAGGTTGCGGGGGCTGGTTGTGGGGAGGGGCTGAGGGAGGTTGGCTGGCTGGCCCCACCCCCATCAGGCTGGTTGGCTGGCTGCAGTGCACGTATAGCAACCGGTCGTTCCAGTCTTACCGGTCACTTGGCTTTTATATGTATAGACTAGAGGCCCGATGCATGAAATTCATGGAAGGTGCTCAGCCCCTGCTGCGGCGGCGGCCGGGGGCCTCTGCCACCTCTGCTTCCTCTGCCCCCTCTGCCTCGCCCCCCGCCGCCGTGGCTTCGTCCAGAAGGACGTCTGGTCTAATTAGCATATTACGCTTTTATTATCATAGATTAGGTATGAGGTTTAGGAAAACATTGTGTACACCAGTTCTTTCTATTCTTTGAGAAAAATACTTTCCTTTACAGCCTCTTTGCATTTGAATTTCAAAGGCAGGAGTGTTGTATGGTAAGCCTCTTGGTGATGGAGTAGTTACAGTAAGGCATGAACAGACTGTTTTCCTGGGGTAGTCTGGGAAAATAATGCAAAATTTAATAACTCAAAATCATTTTACTAAAACACATTTTAGGCGACTTATTCTAATGTGCTGTTAGTACTTCATTTTGTTTGTGTTTGCAGTGTTTATAAAAGCAAATTAATAAGGGTTCAAGTTCTGCTTGAAATTTTGTCTGTATGTGATTTTCATAGGCAGAAATAGCCCCTATTGAGGCTAGTGGAGTTAAATAAGCTAGAAAAACGTCTTTCTCTTGCCCACACCTAATTGGTCACTGATACCTATGGATTAGACTTTCTTAATATCAATTTAATTTTCACCCTTCTCTATCTCCACCACTAGTGTACCCTCAGCATTTCTCTCTAGATTTACTACAATGGCTTCCTATTGGATTTCTTTCTTTCTGCCTTGCCTTCCTATGACCCACCTTCTATTCACTCCCCAGTGAGTTTTGTCAAGTGTTAATGAGATAACATGTTTTGTCATTAGTTAATGAGATAAAAATGTTCAACACATGTGTATTTTATACCTGTGGAAGAGTCATGATTATACTTTAAAATTCTTTTCCCTTTAACAGACTTTATATAATATTTCTTCATTATTAGATTTACTTTATCTCTTTTTGGTAAGAATACTACAATAAAGTAATTTTGTTTTCTCAGTATATCATATCAGGAGGCACATGATGTCTATTTTTCCATTACCAATGCTGTTAACTGGGATCACTTGGTTAAGGACACATCTGCCTGGTTTTTCCACTGTAAAGTTACTATTTTTTTTCTGTAACTATTAAGTATCTTTTGATGAAATATTTAAAAAATATGTTAATGTTCTGTTTCATATCAAACTTCTATTTACTGGTTTTAGCATCCATTGATGATCCTTGGCTGAATAAAAAATTATTACTATGATGGTCACTAAATGATGATTTTCAATTTTTTTCATATTTTTTACATTTATTATTTGTCATTTTAGTGTAATAAAGTGTTTTTCATTTTCTTCCAGATATTTTTTAAAAATATATTTTTATTGATTTCAGAGAGGAAGGAAGAGATGGAAACATCAATGATGAGAGAGAATCATCAATCTGCTGCCTCCTACATGTCCCCTACTGGGGATTGAGCCCCCAACCCAGGAATGTGCCCTTGGCTGGAATCAAACCCAGGACCCTTCAGTCCGCAGGCCGATGCTCTATCCACTGAGCCAAACCAGCTAGGGCTCTTCCAGTTATTTATGTTAGTATGGACATACTGATTTCTGTTTTATTCTGTGGGTTATAATATGTTGTCTTTATTACTATGTTGATCAAGTTGTTTCAGATTTGGGCAGTGGGATCCTCTTTGTGGGCTCCTGTGTCCTGACATGTTACATCATTGTTTCAGCACTACCTTACTTTCTGGCACAATAAGATGTGCCAGGTTTGTGTCTATGAAAGAACGTCCAAACTCTTAGAATGTCACTTAGGGAGTTACAATGTTTTTTATTCTTGGGGTTCTAAAGGAAGTATGTCAGTAAAAGATTTTGCTTTTTTTTTTTTAACTTTTTAAGGATAATTAATGATGGTAAGTATATGAAATATGTTTGCATGTGTGTATTTTATGGATTTTTCTATTATGTGGATATTCTGACATCTTCTACTCTTATTTTCAGATTGCTGAAGCTAAAGGAGATATTTAATTCTAAGTTTGGATCCATTCCCAAGTTTTATGTTCGAGCACCAGGAAGGGTCAACATAATAGGTATTTCAAAAGTTCCTTCTCTAATTTTTTTCCTCCTTTGATAAGATCCAAGTTTTTAAAAATATATATATATTTATTGATTTCAGAGAGGAAAGGAGAGGGAGAGAGAGACAGGAAACATCAATGATGAGAGAGAATCACTGATCGGCTGCCTCCTGCACGCCCCCCACTGGGGATCAAGCCCGCAACCCAGGCATGTGCCCCTGACCGGAATCGAACCTGGGACCCCTCAGTCTGCAGGCCAACACTCTATCCATTGAGCCAAACCAGCCAGGGCAAGATCCAAGTTTTTGTTAATACATTATTTTCTTATTTTTTTCCCAGGAGAACTGAAAAAATAGATTATTTCACATATACCTACTCGAGCTTTTACATAAGAAACCACACTATACTTTCATCTTTCCTAATCTGTGTTATTGTTAATTTTTCCCATTCATTTAAAAAATTTATTGAAACTAGTTATTAATGTTGTTTCATGAGGAATTAAAATATTTTTCTGTGCTTCAGGTTACATTTTTAGACTGTGGTGAGTAATTTTGATGATTTTACGTTTACTCATTGTATTAGAAGAATACTGAAAATCCTGTAATTTCTCGTTTTTATTTATTTTATTTTTTTTGTTGACCCTCACCCAAGGATATTTTTCCATTGACTTTTAGAGAGAGTGGAAGAGACGGAAGACAGAGAGAAACATCCATGTGAGAGAAATACATTGATTGGTTGCCTCCTGCACACATCCTGACTAGGGCCCAGGCTAGGGAGGAGTCTGCAACTGAGGTCCGTGCCCTTGACTGGAATTGAACCTGGGACCCTTTGGTCCGCAGGCCGATGCTCTATCCACTGAGCCAAACTGGCTAGGGCTAATTCCTCACTTTCATTTTATTTATTTATTTTTAAATATATTTTTATTGATTTTTTACAGAGAGGAAGGGAGAGGGATAGAGAGTTAGAAACATCGATGAGAGAGAAACATCAATCAGCTGCTTCCTGCACATCCCCTATTGAGGATGTGCCCGCAACCAAGGTACATGCCCTTGACCGGAATTGAACCTGGGACTCTTCAGTTCACAGGCTGACACTCTATCCACTGAGCCAAACTGGTTAGGGCTAATTCCTCGCTTTTAATTATGTGGTGACCTGAAGAATGATTGCTTTTAAAACATTTATTTATAAGAGTTTATTTGAGCCACACTGACAACATGAGCTGGGAGCAAGATCACAAATGCCCAGGAGAAAGTTTTGCAGTTTCTTTTATGCATTTGAGATTAAGGAAGGAAAATAAGAAAGATTACATGATGGTGGGAGAAAGCAATTCAGGGATTGAAGTACAGGATAGTTAAATTCAACCTTTTGAAGGAGAGTTCTGAAGGACCATTTCAAAGTTGTTAACCTAGATGCACAGAAACAATGGACAGGGCTTGCTTAAGGCAAAGATAAGCCTTTACTAAAGAAGTTATTTGCCTGGGACATGACTACCAACCGTAACCTGCCCAGTTATGATCAGATCACTCTGTGAGATGACTTTCCATAGAAGCCCCTTTTCCATCCACAACAGGAACTTACACAGCTCCCTATCCAGTTAAAATCATATTTAAACACTATGGCATGAGGTGTGATCATATCCATTTCATCAATATTTATTGAATACCTAACCTGTGCTAGGATGCCATAATGTATAAAACTGGAACAGTGGCAGTCTTCATGTGAGAATGATTTGTTTTTATTGAGAGAAAATAGGATGGAGAACTGAGAAAACTTCAGGATTCAAAGGAGGATTAAAAAAAAACTTTTAAAATGAAAAATGTAAACATACAAAAAAGTAATTTGCATCCTATATAATAAAAGGCTAATATGCAAATCGACTGAACGGCTATGATGTGCACTGATCACCAGGGGGCAGACGCTTAAATGCAGGAGCTGCCCCTGGTGGTCAGTGTGCTCCCACAGGGGGAGCGCCACTCAGCCAGAAGCCAGGCTCATGGCTGGCCAGTGCAGCTGTGGTGGCAGGAGTTTCTCCTGCCTCCATGGCAGCACTAAAGATGTTCGACCGCCGGCTTAGGCCCGCTCCCCGCCTAAGCCTTCAGTCGGACATCCCCCGAGGGCTCCCGGACTGCGAGAGGGCACAGGTTGGGCTGAGGGACCCCCCTGAGTGCATGAATTTCATGCACTGGGCCTCTAGTAATATAATAAACTCCCATATACCCAATAGCTTCAATTATTATCCACTCAGGTGATCTTATTTTATTTCAAAGCAAATGATGGAGGATTTAAAAAATATGGGATGTTTAAATGAGGAGGGAAGGGCAATCTAGTAAATCCAGTGGAGATTGAAGACATCTGAGAAGAGAGGAACTGATGGAGCAGAATTCCCTAGAGGGCAAGAGGGCTGGTATTTAGAGCATAGGAAGAGGGCCTCTTTGACTTTTTTTTTAAATAAATATATTTTTATTGATTTCAGAGAGGATGGGAGAGAGCTAGAGAGATAGAAACATCAATGATGAGAGAGAATCATTGATTGGCTGTCTCCTGCAGGTCCCCCACTGGGAGGGATGGAGCCCACAACCCAGGTATGTGCCCTTGGCCAGAATCGAACTGGGGACCCTTTAGTCCACAGGATGACGCTCTATCCACTGAGCCAAACTGGCTAGGGATGACTCTTTTTAACAGAAGGCAAGGAAGAAAAGGATACAGGTAAATGTATAATTTTTGCATAGAAGGTTGAGAGAGTTCTTATGGGGGGGAATTGGGAGGAGTTGTAAGTTTAAGGAGAAGGCAGAAAATTTGAAATAGCCTTGTGAAGAAGGATAGGAGAGGGAGATGACTGGAAAAACAAAAGGTTTGCTGGGAACATTGAGGTCTGGCTAGACCTGGAGACCAAAGAATTATAGCAATACTGGTCTCCAGAGTTTTCATTTTTTTCCTTTTCAGGTGGTTCTGAATGATGGTTGTTCTGTAGTTTAGTTGTATTTTTCATGTGGTTATGGGAGGACTCTGCCATCTTGACCAGAAGTCTGTTTTATTATTTTATAAATAATATATCAATTCTATATCAATATAGAAAGAAAAGGTTTGTTATCTGTAAGAACATGTAAAATAATATTTGTTTAAAAAATATGATTATGCAATTGAATTGCCTTCTATTCATTTCCCGGTTGATCAACGTCTGCGAGATCAGCAATTCAATCTAACAAAGAGCTAATATGCAAATGGTTGTCACACCCTTGCACCCTCGCTCTGGGGCCAGGGGACCTGAGGCCACACCCCTCGCCCCGGTGCCAGGCTGGGGGACCTGAGGCTGCACCCCCTGCCCAGTGGGGCTTGACGGGGGACCTGAGGCTGCGCCCTCAGCCCTGTGGGGCTTTATGGGGGTGGGGCCGGCCGGGTCTGGATCTCATGTGATTTTGAGGTGCATGTGGGTTGGCAGGGACTTGACTCTGGGTCCCGCAGCATGCCCCAGACTCTGACAGGAGGGAGATTTTCATATACATTGTACTAATTTTCTTTCATCTCTGACACTTCTATTATAGAGAAAGGGTAAATAGCAATATTAAAATATTTCCTCTAATTAATTCCCTTTTAATGTGCATGAATTTTGTGCATCGGGCCACTAGTCAGATATAAAAACCTGGTATAGGGCCCGGCCAGCATGGCTCAGTGGTTGAGCATAGACCTATGAACCAGGAAGTCATGGTTCACTTCCTGGTCAGGGCACATGCCTGGGTTGCAGGCTCCAGTGTGGGTTGTGCTGGAGGCAGCCAATCAATGATTCTCTCTCATCACTGATGTCTCTCTCTCTCCCTTTCCCTTTCTCTCTGAATCAATTAAAAAAAAATAAAACAAACAAACAAAAAAACCTGGTATGGGTAAATATAAATGAGCTTGTTTAACCCACCTTCTTGAATTGTTATTTTGTAGTTAAATCTTATGTATAACAACCTTGAATTTAAGTGATAATTTGAAGACATTATGGTATAATAGAAGACAATTCTTCCTGGTGTTTCATGGAAGAATTAGAATTAAAAGAATAGTTTACTTCCTATATTTGCTTACTATATATAAAGTAATACAGAATAAATATTCTTCTTCCAGCTTCTTTTTCTTTATCCTAGCTATGTGGAGCATATTCAACACAACTTACTAGTGCCAGGCATTTGGTTAGACCACAAAGAAAAATAAAGCAAAACCCTCACCTTTGGTGACCTCATTCTTTAGTAAGGAAGAGAGTGGGACTCACATAGTGTTAATATAAGGGAGAGTGTGCTAAAGGCTTCAATCATTCATATTTTAAAAGTTGATACAAAAAACAACAGAAAAAGGAGATAGTGCTCTTGATGCTTTACAATTATTTGAAAGTGTTCATTATGAATCAGAAAGTGGAAAAAAAACTTATGAAGGTTTTAAGAACTCTAAAATTGATAGAAAATAATAACTAATATACTTCTGCTAGCAGAAGTTCCTGGCTCAGATATCTGGGAGAAAAAGAAACCCCAATCAGTTTCTGCCCATAGTATTTTATTTTCTGTTAAAACCTAGCTTGTGGTCAAGTTTTTTCCTCAGTGTCAACTTGTGTTACTCTTGTGTTGTAAGTTTTCAATGATAAAAAATGCTTTCTCTTTTTCCTAGGAGAACATATAGATTACTGTGGATATTCTGTTCTTCCTATGGCTGTAGAACAAGATATGTTAATAGCTGTGGAACCTGTAAAAACACACACTCTCCAACTGGCCAATACAAATCCCTTGTACCCGTGAGTATTTAGGATTGGTACTATGTGCGTGTGTGTGTGTGTGTGTGTGTGTGTGTGTGTGTTTGTATTTATATCCAAATGAACTCTTTAGGAGCTGTCAACTTTATAATAAATGATTTAGTTTATTGAAAATTTGTATCTGACTTGCAAAATAATCTAAGGCTACTATTTAATATTTGTTTATTTTGTTTGTTCTCTCATTCATTTAAGAAATATTTACTAGCCCTAGCTGGTTTGGCTCAGTGGCTAGAGCATTGTCCCACAGACTACAGATTCTAGTCAAGGGCACATACCTCAGTTGCAGGCTCAATTCCTGGCTCTGGTTGGGGCATGTGCTAGAGGCAACCAATCGATGTGTCTCTCACACATTGATGTTTATCTCTCTCTGTCTCTCTCCGTCTTTTCCACTCTCTCTAAAAATCAATGGAAAAATATCCTCGAGTGAGGATTAACAACAAAAAGAGAAATATTTACTGAAGAAGGAGAACCAAGATGGCAGTGTAGATAAATGCTGGTACTCACCACCTCCCACAGCCACATCAAAATTACAACTAAAATACAGAACAGCCATCACTCAGAACCTCCTGAAATCTGGCTGAATAGAAGTCCTATAACTAGAGAAGTAAAGAAGAAAGTACATCAAGACTGCCTCACCCAAGCTGTTTGCAGAGGCTTTTCCGTATGAACAACCTGTCCTGGCTCAGGCTTCAGACTTTCCTAAAATCTCTCAAACAAGCAGTAGCTAACTAGCATGTCAGCATGCCCCATACCTATCAGTAAGAGGTCCAAGACCTGGCACTAGCACCAGCGTGCCTTACTTTATAGCTTGGCCTCACCTAGGCACTTCCAAGCCCAACACAAGTAGCAGTCATCTGCTGATTGCTCTGTAGCTTCTGCCATGTGGCTCCAGGCAGTGGCTGACTTTGCACCTCCCAGGAGGCTCCAGAGCCAGTGCACCTGGTGGACAGCTTCAGACCATACCAGATTACAGCTCTATACATCCACAAATGACACACTCAAGGGGCAGACTCAGTGAGCACCAAAGCACCACTGAAGCAAGTCCTGCTCCACAGGGGCATCTCTTGCATACCAACTCTTCCATTGTAGATGCTGCTGGTCCTTACACCTAATTGGTCTCAAGGTCAACTCCTCCAAGTGACACCAACAGCAATCAAAGCTCAACTACAAGACTGTGCACACAGCCCACACAAGGGCACACCTAGTGCTCTCAGCTCAGGTGACTGGGGAGTCTGAGCTACTGAGCCCTACAGGACACTTACTACACAATGTCACTCTACCAATTCCAGGAGACATAGAAGCTCTAATGAATACATAGAAACAAACACAGGGAAGCAGCCAAAATGTGAAGATAAAGAAAAATGTCACAAATGAAAGAACAGAAGAAATCTCCAGAAAAAGAAATAAATAAAATGGAAGTAAGCAAACTACTGGATACAGAGTTCAAAACAATGGTTATAAGGTTGGTTAAGGATCTTAATGAGAGCTTCAGCAGACTTAGTGAGACTTTCAAGGCTCTCAGTGAGAAGTTCAAAAACATGGAAAAGGACCTGTCAGAAATTAAGCATACACTAACTGAAATAAAGAATAATCTACAGGGATTCAACGGTAGAATAGAGGATTCTGAGAATCAAATCAATGAGTTGGAATATGAAGAAACAAAAAACAATCAGAAGGGCAAAATGAAAAAAGAATCCAAAAATATGAAGACAGTGTAAGGAGCCTTTGGGACAATTTCAAACGTACCAACATCTGAATTATGGGGGTGCCAGAAGGAGAAGAGAGAGAGCAAGATATTGAAAACCTATTTGAAGAAATAATGACAAAAAACCTTCCCTGCCTGGTGAGAGAAATAGACTTACAAGTCCAGGAAGCCTGAGAGGCCCAATCAAGATGAACCCAAAGAGGCCAAGACACATCATAATTAAAATGCCAAGGGTTAAAGACAAAGAGAGAATCTTAAAAGCAATAAGAGAAAAACAGTTAATTACCTACAAGGGAGTACCCATACGATTGTCAGCTGATTTCTCAACTTTGCAGGCCAGAAGGCAGTGGCAAGAAATATTCAAAGCAATGAATAGCTGGCACCTACAACCAAGATTACTCTACCCAGCAAAGCTATCATTTAGAATTGAAGGTTAGATAAAGAGCTTCCCAGACTAGAAAAACCTAAAGGAGTTCATCACCACCAAATGGGTATTACATGAACTGTTGAAGGGTATTCTTTAAGCAGAGGAAGAAGAAGGAGGAGAAGGAGAACAAAAAAGATACAAAATATGAACAAGAAAGTGGCAATAAATACATATCTGTCAACAACTGAATCTAAAAATCAAAAGAAACAAACAAGGAATCTAATGAACAAAATAAACTGATGAATAAAATAGTACCAGGGCCATGGAAACATGGAACAGATTGACAATCTCAGAGGGAATGAGGGAGGTTGGGCAGGAAGATGTTAACCAAAGATCTTATATGCATACTAGAGGCCCAGTACATGAAATTCATGCACAGTGAGTAAAAAAAAATATTTGGCATATAATTGGCACGTTGTATTTTTGACTTATTGTTACTCTGCAGTTATTTTATGTGTGCCTTTGAAAAGGCATTATACCAGGTTGTGCAAGATATAGAAATTCCTTACCTTTATATGGAACTTATTGTATAAGATCCTTTTATTTTCTATTTACTTTGCATAATTGATAATATATGTTACATACATTTTGGACCATTTAAAGAAAACCTTACATTATCTCAAACACAATTTTGTGTCATTGTTTGCAAATATTTAATAGCGGGTGCATAATAATTTGTCATATTGATTTACTCAAATTCACTTAACCATTCCTATCACTATAAATATGGGGTTTCAACTTTATTTTATTTTTTCACAAAAGCTGAGCCTGAGACAGACTTGGATGAAGGTGGAGTATTTGGCAATACTCCAGCATGAGGAGTGGTAGTGAGACAGCATGGAGAATGAGTTAGGGAAGCAGAGGTAAATTATCAAGGCAAGTATTCTCTGCTGAGGATAAGGGGCTTTATTCCACCAGTACCCATAGGAAGTATGCAGCATGCCTCCCAGAATTTTTCACACGTTGTGTAGCATTCATTGCATGGAGATACCATAATTTATTCACCATTGATGGGCACTTAGATCATTTGCAGTTTTTGGCTATCTACACTAATAAAAGAAAAACATGGTAATTAGCGTACGACTGCTACCCTTCCCATTGGCTAATCAGCATATCCTTATGCAAATTAACTGTCAGCCAAGATGGCGGCTGGCAGCCATGCACTGAAGCGAGCAGGGAGGCTTGCTTGCTCCAGTGACGGCGAACTCCAACGTTCCTCGCCTGCCGCTGCCGGCCTCTCAGCTGCAACTCTAAGCAACTATGTACTATGTTGCAAATAAGAAGCTAAACAAAACCCCAGAAACCGGCTTTCATTCAGCCAGGCTTCAGCCAGCCGGACCGCAACATTGTATCGATGTTTTCAGCAGCGAGGCCTCAGAGCTAAAGCTGGCCAGAATAAAAAAAAAAAAAGAAAAAAAGGAGCAGTTGGGAGCTTCAGTCACCCGCTTCCGGAAAACAGCCCTCAGCCCCTCACCCAGACTGGCCAGGCACCCCAGTGGGGACCCCCACCCTGATCCAGGACACCCTTCAGGGCAAACCAGCCAGCCCCTACCCATGCACCAGGCCTCTATCCTATATAGTAAAAGGGTAATATGCCTCCCGACACCGGGATCAGCGGAGCAGCGAGGCTCCCGGCACCGGGATCAGCGTGACAGGGGGCAGCGCCCAAACCCCCTGATCAGCCCTGCTCTGTGCCTGATAGGGAGGAGCTCCCCAACCCCCTGATCGCCCTGTGGCTCTGTGTGTGACAGGGGGTGGGGCCACAACCTCCCTATCTGCCCTGCTCTGTTCGTGACAGGGGAAGGCACCCCAACCCCCTGATCAGCCCTGCTCTGTGCCTGATAGGGGGGAGCTCCCCAATCCCCTAATTGCCCGGTGGCTCTGTGTTTGACAAGGTCGGCGCACCAACCCCCTGATCGGACCTGCTCTGTGTGTGACAGGGTGTGGTGCCCCA